CAAACCAGCAGAGCGAGCATTAACCCTAACCTGCAGAGCGAGCATTAAACCCAACCTGCAGAGCGAGCATTGAACCTAACCTGCAGTCTGAGCATTGAACCTAACCTGCAGTCTGAGCATTGAACCCAACGAGCAGAGCGAGGATTGAACCCAACAAGCAGAGCGAGGATTGAACCCAACAAGCAGAGCGAGGATTGAACCCAACCTATAGTGTAAGCATTGAAACCAACCAGCAGAGCGAGCATTGAACCCATCCTGCAGAGCAAATACTGAACCCAACCTGCAGAGCAAATATTAAACACAACCTGCAGAGCGGGTTTTGATCCCAACATGCAGAGCGAGTATTGAACCTAACCTGCAGAGCCGAAATTAAACCTAATTTCCAAACTGAGCATTGAACCTAACCTTCAAACTGAGCATTGAATCTAACCTTCAAACTAAGCATTGAACCTAAACTTCAAACTAAGCATTGAATCTAGCCTTCAAACTGAGCATTGAACCTAACATTCAAACCAAGCATTGAACTTAACTTGCAGTGCCAGTATTGAACCTAACCTGTGGAGCAAGCATTGAACATTACCTGTAGAGCGAGCATTGAACCCAATCTGCAGAGCGAGAATTGAACCAAACCTGTAAAGAGAGCATTAGACCCAAATCAGCAGAGCGAGCATTAAACTCAACCTGCAGAGCAAGGATTGAACCCAACCTGCAGAGCAAATATTAAACCCAACCTGCAGAGCGGGTTTTGATCACAATATAAAGAGCGGGCTTTGATCCCAACATACAGAGCGAGTATTGAACCTAACCTCCAAACTGAGCATTGAACCTAACCTTGAAACTGAGCATCGAACCTAACCATCAAACTGAGCATTGAACTTAACCTGAAGAGTCAGCATTGAAGCCAACATGCAGAGCGAACATTGAACTCAACATGCAGAGCGAATATTGAACTCAACATGCAGAGCGAACATTGAACTCAACATGCAGAGCGAGTATTGAACCTAACCTGCAGTGCGAGCATT